CTATATTACTTAAAATTTGATTCTTTCGGATTAATTGCCAAGGTTTGAAACAAATATCTTACTACCTCCTAAAGCAGGATCAATTTCATAGTATCCCCTCCAATCTTCTAAATAACTAGCTGCATTACTCTCTTTCACATTATTTCTTCCTGTCCCCCTTCTCCCCTAATTCCCACAGTTTTATAATTAACCCCTCATAATTGGTGTTAAACGCAATCATTATCCCATTTTAACCATTTCCCTTTGTATGTAAACAAGCAGAGGGAGAATGGACTAGCTCCATAAGAGCTCTATTTATTCGTCAAATTATTGACGTAATTGGGATTCTCCTAGCCAGTTTGACCGGAATTTTGGCCGGAAAATAGTGGAATCTGATTGGGTTCGCCGGGAAATTAGAGTTTTTGAAGTGACGTTTGGATGCATGCTTACATGAAAAAAATCTATTTCTTTTGAAATGTATATCTTGAGAAAAGTATTTCTTATAAAATAGATTTTTAGGTTTCGAAGAATATACGGATACATAACAATTTCACGGCTTTTTTTTTAAATTTTTTTTTTGTGAAATTTTTTTTTTGTATTATTTATTATAATATCATTTTTAAAATTTAAAATAGTTTCTTTCTAAAAAATTTGAGATAATTTCTCAAAAAAATTTCGAGTGGTTTTTCCCTCTAAAATTTGATATAATTTCTCTCTAGAATTTTAAAATATTTTCTCTCTAAAATTAAAATTTAAGATTGTTTTTCTCTCTAAAATTGTTGAGATAGTTTCTCTCTCTAAAATTTGATATAATTTTTCTCTCTTAAATATTAAGATGTTTTCCCTCTCAAAAGCTCAGAATTTGATACATTTGTTATCTCTAAAATATTTGAGATAGTTTCTCTCTCTAAAATTTGATATAGTTACTCCCTCTAAAATTTTAAGATATTTCTTTCTTTAAAATATAAAATATGAGATAGTTTTTCTCTCTAAAAATTTTGAGATTGTTTTTCTCCTAAAAAATTTCAGGTAGTTTTTTTCTCAAAAATTTGATATACTCCCTAAAATTTTAAGATATTTTCTCTATCTAAAACTTAAAATTTAAGATGGTTTTCCTCTTCAAGATTTAGAGTTGGTTTCTCCTAAAAAATTTCAAGTACTTTCTATATCTAAAAATTAAAATTTGGAATAGTTTCTCTCTCTAAATTTTAAGATATTTTCAATCTTTAAAAAATTTCAAGTACTTGCACTTTCTAAAATTTAAAAATTTGAGACAGTTTTTAAATTTTTAATGCAGAAAAAATTGCATAAAAATCCCCAAAATGAGGCTTTCTAGGCAACCTACCCTCAACAGAGTTTTTAGCAACGTTTACCCCAAATTAAACTTTTCTAACAAATAGCCTCCAAATAAAAAAAATCATTGTTTTTAACGAAAATGCCCATAGTGCCGGACTGTATGCCCAAAGTACAAGACTACTCCTATTTTTTGTCAGACCGCATGCTTTTCAAAATCCCAAAGACCACCCCTATTTTGTGTTGGACTGCATGCCCAAAGTGCCAGACTGACCCTATTTTGTGTCGAATCGTGTGCTTTCGAGAAGCAAAGTGTCGAACAGCCCCCATTTTGTATTGGACCACATGCCCAAAGTACCGGACCACCCTTACTTTGTGTCGGACCACATGCTCAAAGTGTTGGACCGCCCTTATTTTGTGCCAGACCGAATGTTTTTCAGAAGCAAAGTGCTGGACCGCCCCCATTTTGTACTAGACTGCATGCTTTCTAGAGGGTATTTTAGTCTTCATTTTACCTTTTCTATGACTTTGGGGTATTAGTTAGGAAAGTTAAATTGGGATAAAAAGTGAGAGAAAAACATCTGGAGGGGGTAAGTTGCATAGGAACTCTATTCTTGGGAGTTATTTGTAATTTCTCCTTTTAATATACTTTCTTTCTCTAAAACTTAAATTTTGATATAGTTTCTCTCTAAATTTCTTGAGATTGTCTCTCTAGGACTTAAAATTTGTCATAGTTTCTCACTTTAAAAATTTGAGATAGTTTCTCTCTCTGAAACATTTTTAGATACTTCTCTCTCTAAAATTTGGTATGATTTCTCTCTATAAAAACTTTGAGATAGTTTTTCTCTCTAAAATTCGTGGGGTGTTTTGGCTGAATTAAATGGTATTCTATAAAGTAGATGTTTCAATAGCAGGGAAATCCGGAAATCAATTTCTAAGCGAAAATAATTACTGGGGGAAATATTTATCTATCCCAAAATTTCAATCCAATGTGCCATCTCCACATAAAAATATGTATGGAAATGTATTTCGAAATATCCAAACAACGCCAAAAGGTTTAGAAGAAGATGGATGGACAAAAATTTGTAGGACTTGAGATTTTCTAGAGGTTTTGGATGGTATTTTGACCAAGAAATCGTTGGGGTATTTTTTTGGCTAATAAAGTATTGGGATCGGTCTTGTTTACTCAGAAAAATACTAGGGCTTGACAATTTGCAACACTATGTCCTGAACTCAATTCCTATCGGGAATGGGGACCGTACTAGGGCTTGACAATTTGTAACACTATATCTTATGCTCAATTTCGATCGAGGATGGTGACCCTCTCCCAACCGACTCATCGAAAAAATACTTTATACCGTGAGATATTGAGAGAGGGAGAGTATGAGAGTCTATTTTTTGAAAAAAAACAAAAAAAAAAAAAAACAAAAAAAACAAAAAAAAGAAGAGGAAGAAAAGAAGAGAGGAGTTGGTGGGGGTGACGACAGGGAGAGTTGTGGGGGAAGGGTGTGGGATAAGGTCTAATCTGTAAGGCGTTTTACGGGATTAAAATAATTAAAGGTCAGAACTGGTGGGGGGCTGGCGGGTAGGAAGAAATAATTTGAAAAGGGTGCGGTTTGTATATAGAGCCTAGGCTCTAAACAATCAATTAGACCCTACCTTCCAATAGTGTCGAGAAATATGGTTTCAATATCAGAAATCATTTTGTTAGCCTTAAAATATATTTTCATCTTTATTTATAAAGTTTAAAGCTTCAGAAATAATGTAGATCGAGAGATCTATGAAAACTTGAAATCCTTGAAATTTGACGGTCCAAAAGTACTTTGCAAAATACACTATTTCCAAAACTTGAAATCGATTATTTTATCATGTCCATGAATCTTAATATCGAGATGATGAATTTGAGGATATTTGGGCATCAAAACAATATCTTCTAGTGAAATGTTTTATGTAGGCTCGAATTTGACTGTTTAGAGCCCCGGCTCTATATAAACTTTTCCCATTTGAAAAAAAACAATCAAATTAGAGCTTACCTTCAAATATTATTGAGAAATGTGATTTTAGTATTAGAAATCTTTGTGATAGCCTTAAAATATATCGCTATCTCTAATTATAAAATATAAAGCTTCAAAAATAGTGTAGATCGAGCACATCTATAAAAACTTGAAAATTGACTGTCTAAATATATGTTACAAGATGCACTATTTCCAAAACTTGAAATTTATTTTTTTCTCATGTCCATGCATCTTGATGTCGAGATGATCATATGAGGATATTTGGGCATCAAAACAACTTTTTCTAGTGAAATTTTGTGGTAAGCTCTGATTTGATTGTTAGAGCCTCGGTTCTTTAAAACCTTTTCCCTTTTCTAAATACTACTCATTAAAATATGAGTTTACTTTTCCAGTTAAATTTCATGTTATATATGTTTTAGTTAAGTTATTTAGGGGTTATGTTAGGATACTCATTAGTTTCTTGGTACACTCAATATTTTTTGATACTTAATACCCTTACTCTACAATGTATTAATTTTTTTAATTTTAAGGGTGTTTATGTAATTAACTAAAGATAAAATAGAAAGTTTTAATTAAAAAAATATTTATTAATTATAATAAAGAATGATATCATCTATATGGAACGTAACATCACTTCCATACAATATTAATTGGTAATAATTTCTAATAGAAATGTGTGTTCTACACCTCCTAATGATACGTCTTAAAAAAAAATTATTATAAAACAAGCGTAGTAAATCTATGTTAAGCATGTTAAGAAAATACTACATGTGCAAAAGTACCCTAAGATAACCCATTATTTATATCACCCTCGTATGTGTGGGTCTTAAAGCATGCAATACGTACAAATATGTTGGAGGGAATAAAATAATATGAACATGAGACATGCAAACATGTTACATGCCATAGTCTAGAGATTAAAGATATATTCTCAAGATTGAACAGAGACCATCTAATTTTTGAAAGATGGGATTAAATTATTCAAAAACTTAAAATCTAAGTTTTCATTAAAAAAAGATAAAATGATATAATGATTCTTAGCTCTCTAGATTTCATATAAAAAAGGTGATCATCTCAAGTAGCTCTTCACCAGAAAAAGTGCGTTGTAGGCTTCTGGAGGGAGCTCAGTATTCTGTCGAAAATCTGCTTTTCTTATTGAAAACCCTAAGATGCATATATCCTTGGTCCTGGTTTTTTGTGAAAACATCCCCACAATGCTTTTTTTCACAAATTTTTACGCCTTATAACTACCCTCCAATTTATTTGGAATAAACAAATGAAAAGCTTTTTATATTTTTCCTACAAGCTATACACTTCTTTCATCTAGCTGTTTTTATGAATGGACAAAGATTACCCCAATCAAAATATCACAAATATACGCCGTTTTATTTCTACTCCTCTCTTGAACTTGCAACTATAAAATATATTTAAAAAATTCTCGATAAAATAAAATGACCAAACTACCCCTACAAATTTTAAAGGTATTTTGGCCATTCTATTTTTTCAAAAATAATTTTTTATATTATTTTTAGGTACGGCCCATTGAGATGATGGCACGTATTAAATTTTATACTCATGATTTTTACCAAAATAATTAGAAATAAAATACTTTGTAATGTCAGATCTAGATCAAACAGTCAGTGGCAGACTTGTAACATATTAAGATAAGTAACCTCGGCCATTCATTTAAATTGGATGGCTGGATAAGAAGAAAATATGTAACTCATATATATTAGGGAAAGTATATGTTTTCCCTAAACAAATATTTCTATTTTCAAATTTCTTTTGCCTGTTTTTTTTTTAAAAAAAAATCCTAATCATTCTTTTTAACAATTTTCCACTAAAATACTATCTATCTTTCACAAAAGAAAATTAGCGTTAAAAAAATCATTGATCCGAATATGGAACCATTGATCCACCCTACCTCGGTCTATAACTACTCAATTTTACTTGACATCTGCACCTTCCAAGAGTACATTTGCTCACTACTCGTCACAGCACCTCTGATCAACATTAAATCATATACTTTCATATGGGGAATTTATTAATTGACATGAGAGATAAATCTCCCTTTTTAGGATCAATAATCAATTTTCAATCTGCCATAAGTCACTTTGGGTACTGTCTTTCTTTTATTTTTATAAATTATTTTTCTTTATTTTTTCTCAAAAAATTGTTTTTCTTTATTTTAAATGTGAGTTAGTTTTAAAAAAAAAGTTTATATGGAGCCTAAGTTCTAAACAATCAAATTAGAGCCCACCTCCAAAATTTCACTAGAGGTGGTGGTTTTGATGCTCAGATATCCTCAAATTGATCATCTCAATATCAAGATGCATAGACATGAAAAAATAATGGACATAAATTTCAAATCATGAAAATAATTTTCAATATTTTCAAGTTTTCATAGATTTACTCGATCTACACTATTTTTTAAATTTTCTAATTAAAGATAGAAAATATATTTTAAAGCTATCACAAAGATTTTCAGTACTAAAACCACATTTCTCAATATTATTTGAAGGTGCGATTTACTTTGATTGTTTAGGGCCCTAGCTATGTACAACCTACACCCTATTTTTAAATGAACAATCATTTCATATTGGCTGATTGTTTAGGGCCTCAGCTATGTACAACTTGCACCCTATTTTTAAATGAACAATCATTTCATGTTGGCTGTCCGTCCAAACAAGCTGCCCATCTAAAAACAATTGAAACCATCAGTCCAAATGTTTTCTAAATAAAATTATTATTTCTAATTTTCAAATTTTATCTTTCATATGCATAATCTCCATGCTGGAAATAATTCAGAGGATCAATTTATATAGAATATGGGCCCCTGGAGTCCATGTAGAAATGAGTTTAGCCCTCTAAAATATTATTTTTGGGGTAGATTTTTTTTACTTAATTTCGTAAAGACATGTAATCTCTAAGAATGGACAGTCTAGCCTACGTATTGCAAGACGCACCATTTCCCAAACTCAGAATATTTTCTTTTATTCATATTCATACATCGCACCATTTCTCAAACTCGAAATATTTTCTTTTATTCAGTATTAAAACCACATTGACGCGCATCTTTAATTCTACATTCTAAGGTTGCAACCGTATATAAACTTTTTCCATTAGTTCCATTTCCAAATTTACGTTATCTCAAAACCCTAGGATTACTTGGATTTATGTCACTACGTATCTCACTGATGGCCCTACAATTATTGACCTCGGTTAAAATTGGCGGTTTGCTCCCTCATCAGGGCTAATCAGGCGATATAGTAAACCGCAGTACTAACATTAAGTATGGATTAAAATCCAAATCCAAATCCAAAAGCAGGCACCACAAAACCAAGCTCTTAATCGTCCCAGATATTGGATATACAAAACCACACCCTACTCAAATATAGAAGCCCCATTACCATGAAAGAGCCACACTCGATCAAATAAAAACAAAATTCAAACCCATATTGCGTTTGTGTCCATAAACGCAAGACCGCAAGCTTATATCTGCAATGTGTAGAGTTTCCATATATGGAGAGAGAATAGTAATATAATAACTCGCACTTTTAGCCCGCCACCTTTCTCACATAATTCCTAGGCAAGTGAGTGGGGATTTCATGAGGAAGGTGGTGCCATCCCCCAGCCTTCATTGGACCCCTCACCATTGTTGTGTTTGTCGTTGCTTTCATGTTGCTGCTGCTTCCAGGCTGGGGCTGGGGCTGGGGCTGCTGGGGCTGGCGCAAAGGGGCATTGCTGTGGGGTGACTTGCTGCTCACATTCTCAATTATGCCACGGGTAGCTGCTCCACCAGAATATACAGAAGCAACTGCATACATTTGGAGCAAAACTGCAATCAGCTTTCATCTTAAAAAGTAATTTACTAGTAGTGCGCTGTCTCTCTCTCTCTCTCAGCAATATTTTTCAAAAAGGCACCATAGAAAATCATAAATAGTTGCAAACATGTAGAAATGCAGGGGACATATGCAAAAACCAATACCGACCTGAGCTGTTCCTGGCAGGTGGCCTATACCTTGGCTGTCGGGCACCACTTTTAGCCAATTTATCATTCTTTACCTCCTGAAAGAAAGACGAGACAAAAGTCAGATCAGATCCTTGAGAACAACAGTTGGACCAAAAGCATCTCTCAAGGGATTTGATCGCTCTCTCATCACCTGATTATCCATCTCGAGCCTCCGCTGCACACCTGCAAAATACACATCAAATTCCCATGTGAGAGAAAGCATTTCAGAAGGGCAAAGCTTCAACTATCCATCAAAATTCACATTTTTCATAATCTTTCAAAACATAAGCTAATGGTGCTTACCAGTGTTGAGAGAAGCACTTAATTTTGCAGAAGAGAAATGGCTCGCAGCCACAGGTTTCACACTGGATAAAGTTCCCAAGGACCTTCTCACTCCCTTATGCTCTGAAGCACCCTTAACACTCCCTGGAAATTATTCACAAACAACACAATTTATAACAGAATACAAGTAAAACCCCCTCTCCAAACACAAACGCCGCCCTAAACTCCTCCCCCTTCTTTAATTTTCTTTCTGCTCCATATTCCTCCCTAACTAAAATAAAAGTTAATACCTGAAGGAGGAGTCCTAGGAGCAAGCATTCCCTTCGCGCGCAGGGATGGCGGGACATAAAAAAAACAAGGCTGCCAAAACAAGAGAGGAGAAAGTTGGAGCAATTAGAACCAAGTATACAAAAGACGAATTAAAATATTTCTTTATGGCATCAAAGCATTAGAAAATTTACTTGGAAGAAGGGATGTTGAAGCGCCTCTGCAGCAGTTGGCCTCCTGGAAGGATCCCATGAACAAAGTGACTGCCAAAAAGAAAAAAAAAAATGTCGTGAGTTACCCACGGAAAAGTTAATTAAGTAATTAACAAGAAAAAACTTATAAAAGAATTGATAAGTTGACAGACAAATGGAGGGACCAATCTCTATCTTTTTTGTGGTAATTTCAGTATTGAGATCCAGAATATGTTCTTTCATATTCTTCCATTCCAGGGATAACACTTAAAATCTACAACATTCGAATATAAGACCGCCGAATTCACAAAGCAAGATAGGGTATCCTCCTAGGTAATAACTAAAACATCCAGTACATGATTGCCTAGCAAGAATATTCTCTGGTCCTTTAATATTGATTTTCCTTTAAGCTGATGGGCACACAAAGCAAGGAAGGAACAAGAACATGGTATGAAGAGCAATTTAGCCTTCACCCAATAACAACGAATAGCAATCAGCAATTAACCAGAAACACAATAAACAAACCAAACAGATGCAATGTTCAACCATCCTCTTCCTCCCTCATAGCTTTATTTTCATGGTTTTTTGTCTCAACCAGATATGGTACTTACAGTGATGAGATTGATGGCATCCAAACTGGCTGATGGTATCAACACAGAAAGATGGGTGCTTGAGAACTGCAATCACAGAAAATTTTCTTAACAAGGACCCCTCACAGAAAGAGGCTACACAACCACAAAAAGAAACACATGAAGTTCAGATTTTCTCATAAAACATGCTAGATGGCTTTAGTACTTCATTTTCTGAGAGTAGAAAACTAGTGGTCTTATGGTCTCAGAAAACAAGTGGTCTTATACCTTATTTCAGGATAGTACAAAATATATTAATAAACTATAAAGGGGAAATATAAAAAAAACCCAATGATCTATGGAGACAGTAGCTCACCTCCAATATTGATTACGTGTTTTTCTTTTTGTAGTTATCGGGTGGGGAGGGGAAAGCATTGGGGTGTCCTATTCTAATTGGGTTGCATTCTCTGTCCATCACAGTTCTACATTTTGTCGTACACCTTTGAACCCAAGAGACAATGGGTTTCCAGTCCATTGGATTATAGCATACCAGTTATGATGGTATGACCGATATTCCAGAACCACAAGACCACATGTTCCCTCTTATCCCAGCAAAACAGAAAAATTAAAAGTGAAAAGAAATTGGAGCTACCTATTCCCGCCAAGATAAGTTACCTGTGGGAATTGATAATTGATTGAATTTGCAAGATGTAATCCTTCTGCCCAAGTGTTCTGAGTTGGAGTACCTATAACACTACAGATCTTGTAGATTTCGTCCGGTTCACTGTATTAGAGTTGAAGTTTATAAGACACGGCCAAGATAATTCAACAGCAGGATTAGTTCAACAATCATGTTTTATAGGTGACTAGTTTAAATGAATACCTTGAACCAGGAAACAGAGGACGAAGAGTAAATAACTCCGCCATAATAGCCCCCATTGCCCACATATCTAAAATGAGAGGTGAGGAAATAGTATTAGTGTTAGTGGAACAGACATTACTGCAAACTGATTTCTGTTTCTTCTAGGGCTTGGTTCTTTTTCGCTTTGTTCTTTCAAATTCCATATCGTAAAATAATTTTTACGTAGTTTTATTTTCATTCGTCATATAAAGATATACAATGTTCTTCATGCACATCCTGCAACTTACCCACAGCAGAGTCGTACACAGATGACTGAAGCAGAACTTCAGGAGCCCGATACCTGGCACAACATGCACAGTCATGAGCTTAAAATGAAACACCTTGTTATTAAGATTATTTTTTAGTGGAAATAACTTTGAGGGCAAGAGAAACAGGATGTCAGCACTTGCCAGCGAGTTGAGACATATTCTGTGAAAGGCGGCTGAGAACAGACCTCCCGAGCAAGACCGAAATCTGCAATCTTAATCATGTCCTTTGTGACCAACAAATTCTCTGTGGACAAGACCAAAAAGAAACAAAATGTGTCAACCATATCATTCAAAGTTTGATATCCAAGAGAAACACAAAGGCATGAAATGTCCACTCATAACACCATCTATTGTACAACAAACTAGGAAGAATGATATAAAATATGCACCTCCAATACAGTCACCACTACCAAGTACCAACTCATTGCAAAGCCAAACACAGATGCACAAGTGACCTAAAGTACACTGTTGGATTCTAGCAAGCAAGCACAATAACACAAGAAAGAAACATCAAAGTGAAACTAATAACCTCGCTTAAAGTCACGATGAAAGTGAAACTACTAACCTGGCTTAAGGTCGCGATGAAAGTATCCACGCTGATGCATGTAAGCAAGAGCTTGAAACACTTGAAAACACCAGTTTCTCACTTCAGCTTCCGCAAATAGTTTGCACCTATCTTTCATGAGCTGATACAGGTTGCAGTCCTAATAAACAATAACATGATTGCCATGACATCAGATTCTCAAAAACCAAAAACAAGGTCCAAAAGAAATAGACTTCTAGCATTTGACATCTTAGAAACATACCATGTATTCGAAAATGAAGTACAAGATGTCATTCTCCCTAATGACCTCCTTGAGCTTCACAATATTCGGGTGATTCATTTTTCGTAAGGACTGAAATGTGGGGAAATGTATTAGAGCTGAACCCAAAGGCATACACATTACTTTAGGACTTATGACATAGAAACCCTTCATTTTACCTTTACTTCCCTAAGATTCATGCATTCTTCCCACGAATAATACTTCCTCTTCATTTTCTTAACTGCAACCTGTAGAAAGACAAAATATTATGCTCCTAATGCTTGAAGGGCAATGGCTTCATTAACATATGTAGGTCACTATTTAAATACGGGTCCACAAGACATACAACTTCACATGTTTGGCGATTGATAGCTCTCCACACACTCCCAAACGTCCCATCCCCAACTTCCTTAATTATCTTGTATCTGTTGGACATGAACAGTAAGTACTTGTAGCAAAATTGGAAAGACAAGTATTTAGCAGCCATTGCATGAAACAAATACGAAGAGGTCGGAGAGCATCCTACTCACCGGTCCATTATTGGTTGCAAAGAAGGAAATGCAAGAAGTGATCTTCAAACGATTGTCTTATTCTTATTCAAAAGAAAATCGCCCATTCCACGAATAAACTGACAAAGTAACCCGCTGCTCACCTCAACTGTGGTATGCAGGCTAGAAAGACCAAATGAGACATTACTACGTAATAATACCTAAACTACAGAACTTTACTGAGATAACCCTCCTTTTAACACAAAAGCGAAATAGGCATTAGCTTGGATTTATCATCCTCCAGCATGGGCCTAATAGCCTTATTTACCACGAACTCCGGAACAAATGCCTCATGCTCCACATTCTCAGCAAACAACCAAGAAAAGACCATATCCGCCTGCATTCTACTTTGCTTTGAGTACTCCAAATGACAAAGAAAGCAAAAGCTGTTTGACCAACTTGCTTAGCAACTAAGGTTGCATTTAAGAACCAAGAAATATAACAGTGACATCAGCAAAGGCAGAGGAATGGCATACAAGATCCAACCCCATCACACGCATCATGCAACTTATACTTCAGTCCCAGATGAGAACTACTTGCCCAGGTTCTGTTCCACTACAAAGACTCTTGGATATATTGTAAAACATATATCCACCAAAACCTTAAGGCTTGAAATAAGGACTGTAATATTAGATATGCTCCCTCGATCTAAATGATTATGAATAAGTCTACATGCAATCAAAGGAATGCATGAAGATTCTAAATGCTATGTAGAAAGTCCATCCCTTGCTAATTGCTAGTAAAATGATTTTACCCCTGCAATAAAAGAAACAAGGATATCAATAGTTAAACAACACCTCGCAAATGTATCTTATTAAATGAGAATCAAACTAGCCCATACATACCCCAGAAAAAGAATGACCAATGTCAAGTCTATTAGCTCTCAAACTGTCTACCAGGGAAAGCTGCATTGGTAATGCACTGCATAAAGATGAAAAAAAATCAGAGACCTAATACATATGATCAAAGGAACATACACAACATTAAGATTATTGAGTATCTATCACAGCAGAAAGTAAAGAGATTAGATGGGGAAAAAAATGAACTAGAATAGCTTACTTAGAAGTGTGCAGTATAGATCCAACACCAATTTCAAAAGAAAAATGCATTGGGACTTCCGTGGTGGTGATTTTCTAAGAGTGCATGGCCGCTAAGTGCAATTAACAAAGGCAATGACTGGGAACTCAACAAGGATGGGAAACCTCCAGTCAAGAACCTCTTGGAACGAAAAAATTCTACACTTGTAACAGTCTGACCAAAGGCGCACTTGCTCCATGTTCTTGGTAAAAAGGATAAACCCTCAAATCCACAGAGGGGTGCAACCTACAAAAAAACAGCACATTAAGCCCAAAAGGCAAATTGAGATCCAAATATTGCCAGCTGCTGAGTATATCTTTCAAACTGAACAAATATAGGTCATTATTACCATGTTTGAGTATAAAATACACAACAATGGAAAATCTATATATTTATAGAATATAAGATATGAAAGGAAACAAATCCATTATAAACAGTCAAGTTCCAGAAATTCCAATACAAGGCAATCAGTCAACAAATACATTACAAACACACTCAGATGCAAGAAGTCAAACTCAATACACATAAAACATGGTCCTGGAGCAGTAGTATCTGAGATTAGGCAACTTCAGTTAAAACACAGTTGTTCACAACTTCACATTAACAACTCCAAACAAAAATAATAGAACTGACATGGCATACAAAAAGATAACCAGGACAAATAAATTACATACAGAACACATGAGTGCGTGCAACAAATAAAATGAACTTTGAACCATTAATAAACTATAGCCTCTTCCATAATTAATGTGGTGAAAGACACCACAAGATTTGTATCATAAGGATTCGGCTAATATCAGGAAACAACCATGTAACAGGAAAAAAAATACAAGTCTTCCAGATATAGATTGAATTAATGTTGTGGAAATCATAAAAGCAGACAAGATTCAATTTCTCATCAAAGTGCCAAACCAAATATTAGGCAATCCATAAAAATCCATACTTTCCAAATTCCACGGCCTTCATTTAAAATGGTATGGCCTAGTAGGCACATGAATTAAATTCTAATCCACGCAATAAATCCATGGATTCCCATATCCACAATATATAAAGGAAAATAAAATATAACAGTTGTAAATTTAGTACATCCATCATTACAACTCTTCAAGATCTTTGCACTTTCATATATTTCCCACAAAGGACAAAAAATTAGCAGTTAGCTCACCCAATTTAGAGATAAACAGAAACCTTGAGTTCAGACACAGGATCTCACTGAAATCTAAAGGATCTCCAAAAATCCATCTCAACATTTATAAATCAAAAAAATAGTCAAATACAACGCATAAACCTCCAAAATTTCCACAAAAACAAGGGAGTACATTTTAATGATGCATAGAGAAATGCCATGGATTCTTTGCAAGCAACACATGCCCATATAGAGTAGTAGTCCTAACGTTTACAACAACAAGACTCTCTACCAAAAAACACAGAACTACTTGGAAATCAATTAAGCAAGATCATAGGAATCATGCATTCAGAATAACAAGGAAACCTACAGCTTCCACCACATAAATTGGTCTCTCCGCAAAGAAACGAAATGGTAAGCAAAAATCATAAAAATAACTCAGAATCACCATAGATTTTCAACCAAATAAATTGAAAGGGGCTGACACAAAACCACTAAACAAAATCCTTTAATCCAGACACCCTGTCTTTTTCTTTTCTTTTTTTAAAAACGAAAACATATACAGAAAACAAGAAAGTTTAAAAGGTTTTGATAGAACAAACGACCAGAAGTGAAACCCTAAATACAAACAAACACCAGTCCAATGGAATTTAGGGCTTTTGCCAAAATTCACAATTTACAATTGGGATTTCTACAGAAAGCAGGACCATGGAGAAGGAACCCACAAAATCAAATGAATAACAAATAAACACAGAAAAACGGAATCACGCAAAAAAATAAGGAAACTCTATGATTCCGTAATACAGGCAACCTAGAATTTCTCCCGCAGATGATAAACCAAATCAAGCATTTTTAGCACTAAACAAAGCGATAACAACCAATATCACAGGATCTTAGAGGATCTTATAAGATCTTAGCACAGAGAAACCCTAAATTTACAAATCTACGCCCACAAGTGCAAACAAATCCAGGTCTGGCACAACAAAATAACCCAAAAAAACGGTTTCTGCCTCAAAAACAAGAAATCGACTAATAAATAGTGAAAATAATCAATTCTACATGCTCAACATACTCATATATAAAAATTACAGAAAGATCACAAACACCAAACCCTAGAAAGGGCATCGCATCAGTAACACAGAGGAACCAACCAATACCCAGAAATTCCAAACCAATAACCATAGCAAAAATTATTAGGTAGAGAGAGGATAATGAATCCGGGCATGAATTAGGCACACGCAAGAAAATATTAGAGAAAGAAAACAACAAAGACCCTAAACATAAAGAACTAGAATACAATAACAGGCACATAGCAGAAAATCTTGAGAGAGAGGAATTGTAGAGAGAGAAAATTAGGGCACAAAAAGGGTACCTCTACACCGTCTGGCATAACCTCCCTAGACTCGTGTCGGTAAAGCCCTGCTCCAGAGCTTCAGAAAGAGAGAACGCAGCGAAATAATAAACCAAAAGAGAGGATAAATTTCGTGAACCAACACAAGAGACATTATATAGCAGCCATATAGCATGGAATCACCCTTTCCTTTTTCATAAATGCCAATGAAGCCCCATAGGTTGGTGAAAGTACTGGAATGCCCCTGGTATTTTAGCCTTAAAAGTTCCGCGAACCGTAGTCTGGCTGGCCTGTTTCGTCAAAATCTTGGAGAAAATGATTTTTAGAGGCTTTTGGGAAATTAGGGTTTAAAGTATTATTTATTTTCCTATTAAAATCTTGGAAATATAATTAAGGAATCTGAGGTAATATTAAACCGAACGAGGTTTTTATGAATTGGCCCAGCTCACCTATTTTCCAGGACACGGTTTCAACGTGTCCATGTAGAAATGATTGGTCTCTTAAAAATCTATTTTCGTATTTTTTTTAGGATATGTAATGTAATCTTCAATATGGAAATTATGGATATGAAGAAGTAAATAAATTTTAAAAAATAAAAATAATAATTTTATGAAAAATATATTAGGATTGTTAATTTCAATTGTTTTTAGATGGACCACCCATTTGCATCCATCTTAAAGATGGATGCTCATTTGCATCCATCTTAAAGATGGATGCTTTATGATGCACAGGAGCAAATGTTGAAATGCGGGACACATTTTCCTCATGTGTGTCATCTCCCAAACTTGAATTCATCTTAGAGATGGATTTTAGATCAAAAACTTTTTACAGATCGATAATCCATAATATGGTGAGCACTAAATTGTTTAATTTGAAAATAAAAAATAGTAGTTTTTTATGTGTTTTTTCGACTTTGATTTATAGGTTTTTTTGGACTACTACCTTTTTCACATCTCGTTTTAAAATAGATGTTAGGTGCGTTGGGGGATGCATTCGCAGTCTCGTGAAATATGTAGATGTTAGGTGCGTTGGGGGATGCATTCGCAGTCTCGTGAAATATGTATCCCCCGACGCACACTAAATATTTCCTAATAAAGCCACCCTTTTATATATATTATTTTTGGCCTTTCCTCTTCCCTTGCATTTCACGCCTCTTTTGTCTAGTGATTTTTTGAATGAAATGTGAGTGTTCATTCAAATCTGTGAAGTTTTAAGTAAAATCAACATAGAATATCAGAGGAAGTCTCATTCCATATTTTCAAACGGATCCACAAACTGCCGTACCTGTTTGGTTTCAAATAGGACACTAGCACCTCCCCAACCCTTGGATTCCAACGTCGCTCAGATCCGGAAGTTGTTATTTTCGTGTTTAAAGTAAAACATATTCTATAGTATATAACAGATAATATATCTATAGTATATAACAGAAAATTCGAAATTATCAACCGGAGTGACTTCGGATTTTCAATATCCTGAGTGAGGGTAAATTTGAAATAAAAATGATACACAAAGGGATATGTGCATGATATATAGAAATCATGGAAAATTTGTGTATTTACAGTATTTATATGAAATATAGAGGTAAACTGCCTTTCCTTTTTCATTATATTCTTTTTTTTCTTTCTTTTTTAACATTTCCTTTTCACTATATTCTATTCTTGATAGACTAAATCTTTTTGAATTTTTCTTTATAGATCCATGTTCATGAGGTAGAGAGAGAGAGAGTTGAAGTAGTGAGGTGAGGTGTGACGATGAACGGAGCTTGTGCGGTCGCGTATTTCACATTTTATGACCGACCAGGCCAAAGTCGCCTCCATTTTAGGCATGATTGAGGCTTGCCCCATACGAATAACAATTATTATCAAAGTTAGGCCTGAATATTTTAGATTCCGTCAAATTTTTGGTGGATATTTTTATGGATTTGACATTTAAATAAGAATCTTTTGGCCTTTTCTATGTTTTCAATTTGACAATTATTCCATCGCCATGGTTGTCAAATATTTTTAGGGCATGCATATTGTGTTCCAGTTCACTTCTACTTCCTCGATTAAAATACCTATTTTAGAGTTTGAAATTTTGAGAACCACTTAAAAATTAGTAGATAATTATTCTTGAATAAAAAAATTAAAATTTGAGACTTATAACTTTTAGATCTCACCATAAAAAATTGGATGGTCTCTATTCAATCTCGAGACATCAATTTTTTGAAGTGTGTGGAGGGTACCAATAGGAAATTCTGTTAATTGAATTAATCTACATGTTAAAGAGGTTAATTGAGAATGGGGGTTGGGGTCGTGGTGGTAGCATCACTTTATGCCAACTAAAGTCTAGACTTCTATTCTTATCTAATGCATTAGAAAACATTAGCGATTTTAAAAACAAGTAGGAGCTTATCATCCCCACTGAATTACCCAAAAAATAAATAAATAGGTTAATTCCAAAACCTAAGGTCGTCAAATTAATTATAGGTGGAGTTTTGCATCTTTTTATCCTGGGAGTTTGTCCTAATAAGACCCCAACATATTTCAAAAAGCATTTGTTCTTTTCTTTGATGGATAAAGTTTGTATAAGGTTGCAACCTTTATACTGTTGAGGAAATGTGCATATCAAAAGTCCTATAGTAGAGAATGTTCCCACATACGAGAACCCTCCAACCAAGCATCTCAATCTTGAGATGAATGGATATGAAAATAAAATAAAATTCCAAGTTCAAAAAATAATACATCTTGTAAAAAATCATCTGAACCATTTGTCTTCAAGATTTTAAAGTATATATTAATCTATTCGATCTGTACTATTTTTAAAATTTTAAATCTTATAACAAAAGATACAAAGAGATTTTGAAGCCATCATCTGATTTTTTTATGCCACCTAACTTCCACAATATAAGGAGGCAACCTTATACAAAACGTCTTTGATATGCCTCAATACTCTCTCTCCATGATTGCATATTTATTGTGAAACAAGTGTGAAGAATTGTTTTGAAGCAATGGTATCGTATCTCTCACCCAATCCGAAAGAATAATTTCTCCCATGTTGTTGCCTAACGTACAATCCAATCATACAATGTTCCTAAGATGAATCATGGAATGGCGTTGGGGCATTTGTGGTTACGCGCCGGATGCTTCAACGTATCGTCCTGCCTTTCATTCTCATCGATCATCATCATAGCTTTTTTTCAATTAATTGGGGTCTGCTCTTTATTTCTATTATTAACATATTGAAATAAAATGAGTCATAGAATTGAGATAAATAACAAAAGCGAAAGGTTTCTATACTTCCCTTACAGCATAGAAGATCTAGGCTTCTCCTACCATCCAGCTGTCCAATTTTCATCAAGAGAGCCATTCACCGTTTGATCTTCGACCGACGTCTCAAAATATTTTATTTTTATTTATTTATTTATACAAATTGTATGAATATGAAATTTGGTACATGCATTCTTTTCATTGGGGTGCACCTATAAAAAATATTAAAAATAATTTTTTGATAAAATATAATAACCAAAATATCTCTTGAAATTTTTAAGGGTATTTTGATCATTTTATTTTATTGAAAATATTGTTTTAATATTTTCGTTGGTGCGAGTTTAATAGAGGATTGAACGTACAAAATTTGGTGTCAAAACAGTTTATAGAAAAAAATAAAAACAAAATAATATAGAGATGTGATATTGTGATTGGAACAATCTTAGCCCTCCATTTAGAATGGATGGTTGGATAAGGGGAAGTACATAAGTTTTATATTGCAAGAGAAGCATATAAAACTTGCCCATCATAGAATCGTTTGTAATTTAAATAAAAAAAATAAACTAAAATAATAGATCATTTGTAATTGGAGAAGAATAAAAAAGGTTGGAAAGAAAAAGTAGGGGATGTTATTTGATGCCTTTGACGAGGAATATTACTCAATTATAAAAGTTTATACAAAGGTGAGGCCTTAAGCAATGAATTTTGAAAACTTTAGAAATTCACTATAAGATATTGTTTTTATGCTGAAAAACTCTCAATTCAATCATCTCGATCTTATGATGTATTGACATGAGAAAAAATAAGTTCCAAGTCGTGCGTCTTGTAATGTATCATCCATACCATCAATTTTTAAGATTTTCAAGTTCTCATAGATCTGTTTGATCTACACTGTTTTTTAATCCTTAAATTTTTATAATTAGAGAAAAAATTTCATACCATCATTGACATTTCTTATACTGAAATAATATATTTCCGCATTATTTAAAAGTGCGACATATTTTGATTGGTTAGGGCCTCGGTCTTATACAAACCACACCCCTCAATTATATTCGTTCGATGATCGGCTTATTTCGTTGCGTTTGAAAGGTGAGGATGTTTTAGTAATTGAGCTTAAAGGTTGGGATATATCTTGGATATTTTAGAAATTACGACAGCGAAGGCTAGCATGATTAGATAAACTGTTAGCTTGTCGCCACGATGCATATCTTCGTTAGTTGTGTAGACCTGCCGTTCCCCGATATTGTGGGCGAAATTTCGGGACGAAATCACTACGAAATTTGCTCCATCTTTAACTTCGTTTCCAAGTTTCGTGTCAGCTTCATCATTTTGTTGCTATTTGGGAAGTGTAATTTGTATTATTTTTCGGTTTTTTTCTTTTTGGCTTGTTACTGATATTGTTAACTTCGTTTGGAATGCTTTTTATCAACTTCTAGGTAAAAGTTAAATGTAAATTCCAAATCTCTGTGACCTGAAAAACGCGTTGGGCTTGTCATTATTGACCATTTGGTGGTGTTCTTGGGGTAAATATCTGGCTAACCGTGTCCAAGCCCATGGCATCAAGTCCAAGTCCAAGTCCCACCATGGCTCGAGCAAGGCCAGGCCAGCCTCCTACACACCATACAGGAAGAAAGATCAAACACACACAAGGGTTGCCTAGAAAGAATCGTAGTTCATTCTTATTACAAAAGTTCATGTTGGGATAGTTACATAATTTATACCTACTCATGATTGTTACAGCCTGTATACCTACTAAGTCAGGTATATGGGCAGCTCGCCTCTTGCACATGGTTTATGCCTACGCCCGATTGGGTCAAGTAATCTATCGTCCAGCCAACTAAGCCACAACCTGAGTCAGCCTCAATCATTTGT